TTTTTAGTAGAGACGGGGTTTCACCATGTTGGTCAGGCTGGTCTTGAACTCCTCACCTCAGGTGATCCACCCACCTCGGCCTCCCAAAGTCCTGGGATTACAGGTGTGAGCTGCTGTGCCTGGCCAATGTTTTTCTAATCAATTATTTTTTTTACCAAATTGGTGTCTAAAGGAAATTTTATATGAATATCATATGAAATAGCACGCTATGAAGTCGCAGGTTTAATAGGTTAGTTTTATTTTTTATACACCAACATAACAACCTATCTATTCAAGATAAAGCAAATGTTTTTCCAGGTCTCACTTTAAACTGTCTTATAAGAGTAACAGTGACCCAGGACGCTGGTTTTCAGTTTGCTTTTTTCAGAGGTGCCTCCAGTTCCAGAGGGTACTCAGACCCCCTTTCAACCAGAGAGACTCCCTTTTAATCTAGTTTCTATACTGGAGTTACACATAAGAGTTTATATAACAAAAAATAATTCCACATCTAAAAATATAATAATCCAAAACTGCTTGCCTAGTCCGACCTGCTCACCGTGCCGCTGAGACATAACTGAGGTTAGGGAGAAGTGGCTGTCTTGGGTCACACAGCCATTAGAAGCAAAGTCCGGCCCATGAACCCCAGTCAGCAGGCCCCCAATTCTCGCCAGAGATAGACAGAAGTTTTCTCCATCCTTTAAAGAGAAACATTCAGCTTATGGCTGGGAGTTGTGGAAGGTCCATAGCGGGGGATGTGGATGGAAAGGGAGGATTGTTGGGGGAATGGTGGGTTGGCAGCACGGGGTCCAGGAGCAGCGCCCAGGCAGAGCTGAAACAGCCCCTTTAAGCACAGCTGACCCTTCCAAAGGCAGAAAGACCACAGCCTGCAGCGTATTTGCTACCATTTTTCCTGTTGCCACCACTGGTGAGGATGCCTTGGGGAGAAGGAGGCCAGGGTCCTCCCCATTAACGCCCCTCAGCATCCTGGAAGTTAGAGAATTATCGCCGCCCCCTGCTTCCCAACACTCCTGCCTTTTCTTCAGTCTCAACACCCTACCACCCCTGCCTCCTACCAGTCTTTTTGTTCTCATTTCTGATTTGGTCTGTGGGACCCTCACCCCTCAGTTGGCTCCTGCTTCCAACTGAGAACACCTAGAAACTGTGGGAGCCCCACAACCACCAAGCCAAGGCATAGTTCTCCCGGGAACAGCTGAACGGGAAAAGTAACCCAGTTCCCTTCACCATCCCAGGGAATCCTCCAAAATGGACTATGCCCTGTTGGCCACTTCAGACCCAGCAGCCCGTCCCCATCCCCACTCAGCCCTGCACAGGGGGTGCCAGGAAGTCCACACCAGGGGACGAGTGGGCATGAGCAGGCTGAGCCAGGGACCCTTCCACTACCCTGGAAACCTGGGTGAGCCTGGAGTCATGCAGGGGCCCCAGACCCCTCAGAACGTGGCACTTTTCCGTCTCTGTTGAGCGAGCCAGCTGCTGGGATTCATGTCCATCTGCAGCATCTTCATCACCCATTTGTCCCGACGGGCACCTTCAACAAACTCGTTCAGAGACAGCTGGCCTGAGCAAGGGGGAGGAGAGGCGGTCATGCAGAAGAAGGGGAGACCTGAGTCTGGGGGCAGGAGGGGAGACCTCACTCCCAGGATGTGCCTACACCTCTTATGCCAACTATCCTGCAGTCTCAGGCCCCAAGCTTGAGGCTTGTCAGGTGTCTGAATCTCCAGGAGTCTCCTGCCACCTTTAAGGGGCTTTCTAGGCTGGGTGCGGTGGCTCACGTCTGTAATCCCAGCACTCTGGGAGGCCGAGACGGTTGGATCATGAAGTCAGGAGATAGAGACCATCCTGGCTAACACGGAGAAACTCCGTCTTTACTAAAAATACAAATAAATTAGCTGAGCGTGGTGGTGGGCGCCTGTAGTCCCAGCTACTGGGGAGGCTGAGGCAGGAGAATAGCGTGAACCTGGGAGGCGGAGCTTGCAGTGAGC